ATGATGATCTTTACTCCATTCAAGTCGGTCATTTATTAATATATCAGATATAGCATCCGCGTTGTAGATTGTCCATTTATGAACAGAAGTATTCTCTAATAAATTAAATGTTGCTCTTCGAAATGGTTCTGCAACTTCTGCTTTGAAATCATCAGAGATTGCATCGAAATGATTTCTTAGTAATTCTGCTGAAACGTTTGAAATATGAAATTGCACTTGTTCAAGGAATGTATCTCTTAACAATATATCTCTAGATATTGTGTGTTCTATTGATGAACTCCATACTTTTAATAGTTGGTCAATATTACAACATATCATTATCATCCACTTTATAAATAAAAATTTGAATTAATTTTTTTTTTTGATTAAAATTTTTAATATAATTTTTGAAAAAAAGATTACCTTTGCGATCCTAGAGTATTTTTCATCCGATTCAAGTTTATTAATATTAGGAATAACATATTTTGGAAAATGAACATAAACCAGAGATTCCGAATATTTTTCATCAAATCTCTGATTAGAAATGCATTCCAAGAAACTATAATCCGGATCTAATAAATCAGCCAAAGTAAACATCGGTTTCACCCAATAATAATGACCATAACGTACATTATGTACAATTGAAGCTCGAAGGGCTGTTAAAAGCATTTCTTGAGTATTAGATAACCAATCTTGAGGTTGAAATTTTTCAATACACTCAAATAAATTCTGTGAAGGAAATTTTTTGTTGAGGATATTGTAATTACCGAGTGAATTTGAACGTGTCATAATGTAATATCCTAAAATAATAGTTAAAAATAGATGTTTGTCTTTGTCTTTTGTTTTTTGAAAAGCATCCCCAATAAAGTTTACGTCGCTCGCTAATAAAGTATCTTCTGTGAATTTTTCCAAAATATCTAGATATTCTATAAGCTTTTTTTTAGCGTTTTCAGGTGAAAATGATTTCCAGATTATTTTAAAAAATTCATAGTCGTGAACATGAGTAGGTTTATTATAACGACGATTATATATATTTATCTGGTTCACCATATCAAACTGGTTCGGTAAACCTTTTATATTCAATATACGATAGTCTTGAGTATCATAGATGATCTCTTGAAACCAATTTATTTTAGGCTCTTCCATTAATTTTTTGTTTAGTCTTTCAATTTCTTTTAAATTCTTGTCCGTTGCCGTTGCATCCTTTGTGGGTTTTCTATGGTCCTCATCATTATCGTTATTATCGGTATGATCGTTATTATCGTTATTATCGGCATTCTCATCGTTATCATCATCATCATCATTATCATCTACACGTTTCACAATCTCATCATCATCGTTTTGTTTATCTTCTTTGGTCTTGTTTTTATCGTCATCATTTTCCTCTTTCATGGAGCTGCCATAATTGTCCCTATTATTTTCTTCATCCTGGATGGTATCGCCACTTGTTATATCATTTTCACCGCCAGATTTCTTATTCTTATCAGTATCTTTTCTTTCTTTTTCAGCTTTCTTTTCAGCATCTTTTCTTTCTCTTTCAGCTTTCTTTTCAGCATCTTTTCTTTCTCTTTCAGCTTTCTTTTCGGCATCTTTTCTTTCCTTTTCAGCTTTCTTTTCAGCATCTTTTCTTTCCTTTTCGGCTTTTTTTTCAGCATCCTTAATCCTCTTTTCCTCAGCTTTAATCCCTTTCTTATCTATTTTCTCAATAACTTGCATAGCATATCTATATTTAATCTCTTGAGAATTAAACTTTTCTATTGGAATCATCACAGGTTCAGATACCCAATAAGTGCTGCTCTTCCCATAAAATCCGAATGATTTAGAGTAAGGCTGCTTCAGTGGAACTATGGCATTTTCCCAATTACCAAGTTCACTAATATTACCAATTACACAGGGTGTTGCTTTATCGACAAATTTATTACGAGAGACTTCTTCAATTCCTGATGGGAAATGAACGTGAAATATTACTCTAACACAACCATTTTCTAAAAAAGTAGTAGTAATAGATGAATCTTCGAATCCAACCATCTTTTTAAATTTATTTGTTTTAGATGAAGAAGTCCTAGGAGGAGGAAATTGTCGTGACATCATAGAAGTATTATAAATACTTTTATTATTTGTATTAAGTTGCAAGACATCTGATTCAACATTTACAAATTTATTTCTTAATTCAAATTCATGTTCTGAACTCCATTCATCATCATTACCACTACTATCCTTTTGTTGACTTGTACTTGACATTTTCTTGATTACATTCAAATGACGATTTTTTTATTAAAAAAAAAAAATAAATGTTTGTGTAGAAAATTGATTTATTATGAAAAAAAAAAAACTTAAAATTGTACAAAATTTTATTACTCAAATTTTTAACTTGTTTTTGTGTGTACAATTCTATTTTAGATAAATATAGATTTCTAATTGGATATTGATATGTAATTAATTTCAGCCTAACGTTTTACAAGAATTCAGATAAATTTCTACATAGTAACTTTTTGCTCTTGTTACTACGTAGTCGACTCAGTAATTAACTAATATTTAAATATAGAAATTTGTGATCATTAAATGCCTCAATGACTAAATCGACTAACAACGCTATTTTAACCACATACGTAACTGTACGTTGAAAAGGTGTGAACCGGTTCTGGGACGGAACTCGATCGGAGGTCTATGGTCACACCAATATCTGGTCTACAAACAATCAACACTATCTACACTAATCCAACAATCAACCCTAAGTTGGAAGGCTGAAAGACGGCGTGGAGGATTTGGTCCGGGTTTTAGGGATCT